ATTTACATTCAGTGTTAGAGCTGAGCATGTGCCGGTCACAGAAATGTTTGGAGGATGTGCAGTTTTTCTACATTCCCTCATCAGTAACATGTAAGGAGAAAGGAGTTTCAACTTTTGGCATAAACATTGCCCAAGCACCTTAAGACTGGAAGGTATCAATGCAAGCAGACTGAAGGGGTGTGCTTGGGAAAGCAAGAGGGCAAACCTTATACTTCAACATAGGCAGGACATTTAGAGTGAAGCAACTGAGGGTTGGAATACTGATGTCTTGATGGATCCACTAAGCATCCTACCCAGAAACTCAGGAGCAGCAGAGACATTGAATCAAGAACCTAGAAACAGTGATATTCCGATGCTCTGAGAACCCAGGGGAAACAAGGACTATGCCTGCACATCCTGAGCTAGGGCACATGCCACTAAAGTGGAATAGCATGTTCAAAGTGTGACCGAATGTGCTGCCACTAGCTTATTGTGTGTTTTAATGTCTACTGCAGACATAGTTTGCTCTCCGGACAAATGCTGAGTTAAAGATGCAAAGAAGCCGTTACTTAACTATCATTTAGATCAGCTACTACGTAAATCAACACACGTGAAGCTAAAAAACTATATTTATGTTCCTCTTTGCTGTGGTTTCAAAGGAGAAAATAGCTCTAATTGCAGGCTAAGAAGTCCAGAGAAATTCAGGATTTACAAGCTAATACCCACAGCAATGATTCAGTCTACAGCCATCAGTGAACTACTTGCTTCTCTCAAGCATAACATGAAAATAATATTCACTCACCTCTGGGAAGTAGTTAATTGGATTGCTGGAAAATCAGTTTTCATCCTATTAACAGCAAAAGAGGGGGAAGCAGGAAACCAGCAGCCAGGAATTAAATACAAGAAAAGCGCGAACTGGAAAACAGAAAGGAAAGGGTGAATAAATAAATAACTACATATATTTGTTGAAGAGTAAAAGCAACTGGCAACATGCAACTGAGTTGCCTGAGGACCTGACTGTCCCTGGTGAATACATGCACTTGTGCTTACGTGCTGTGTGAGTAATGCAACAGTGCAGTTATGCTCAGTGCGTAAGCTGAAGTTCACAGTTCCCTATAACTGAAACTGGGAGCCTAAATTACCACCAGTCACATATTGCAAAGTTTGACAGCATTGGATGAGTTCAGGAATTGCCTGCACTGCAGTATCACTTAGCATGGAGTCAACAGCTTCAGTGGTCTCTTGTTTTAACCACTTAGCATGTAAAAAGCTGTGGATAACACAGCCATGCTCTTCACAGTATGAAAAAAATAGGTCTCTGATAATGTGTGAAAAAAGAGAAAAGTAACTTTTATCCTATTTAAGACACACTAAACATCCCCTTCCCTCTGGGATCTCTTACTACTTTGGTTAAATTTCATTTTTACAGTCTTGATCATCACATCAGTGCTAATAAAAAAATTCCTATTAATTTCAGTTTATTCTCCTACCACATGTACCGTATGACCCTTTTGTGACAGGCTAATATAGTAATAATTCCTTACTAGGCTCCAACAATGTGCTCAGATGTTTCCTTGGAAATATTTTGTTCCTTTCTGTTGTTCCTTACAGCAGACTGAGATTCTTCGTGTGGCAGTGGTTCCTTGAACTGGTTTTCCACAGCCTAGCTTCTTTTGTGTCCTTCCCAGTTTTCCTTTCCATAGACACTAAAGTGCACCATTTCAATGAATCATGCTTTCTTCTTATAAAATGTTATCCGAGTTCAATGCCAAAGGCCACATTTCTAAAAAAGAGATTCAGAATGAGCAATGAGCACAGCAAAACTTATTTTTCTGTTGCTCTGTAGTTCCCCCTCCCCTCATTTTTTGGGTGTCAGAGATTCCTTAGAAGATCAGTAGCATTAGAGGAACTCAGAAACTCATTGCATCTGTAGTATTTTATATCTTTGGGCTCCTTAAACCTTTTCTGGTGCACTCTATTAGCTGCATAGGCTAGGAACTGTTTTCTTTATGCTCCTGAGCAGGGCCATCAAAAGCTAGTTCATTTCTTGGCTCAACAAAATATCTGTCCTCTTATTCCTCTGACCTTTCCCAGCCCCAGTTCCTAAAGCATACTGACAGGTAGCCCAGAGGCAGCTGCAAAGGGTCACAGTAGAGGGGAAGGAGCAGGGGGCCTGCAGGGTAAAAGACTTTTCCTGAGCCCTCCAGGCCCAAGGGAAATGGCTCTGGTTATTCCTCTCATCTTTCCACCTCCCTGCTTGGCAAGAAGGGGACGCAGCACCCAGTAAAATGTTTGACCAAACACTCGACACAGAGAAGAGCTGAGCCAGGCTTCCTGGCAGCACACATGGAGAGCTTGGAATTAGGGATATGGTTACTGGCTATGAATAATAATTACCCCAAAACTTCAGTAGAAGGATAAAAGTCAGCAGATAGTACAGTAAGGTTTTGGCTTATAAAAGTCACTGTGACTTATCAACAGCAATACAAAAAAGAACTCTTGCGTACAGCCCATCGTTGCCAGCAGGTAAACAAAATCCATTGGTTCAGGCTTTGCATAGGGGGCTGGCTGTGCAACAAGCTTTGGATATCACACTGTCTAAACAGGGAGGATCTTCAGATCTTGAGGGTATCAACAACATCTTTTATGTGTTGGTACAATGAGGAACAACTGGGAACTGCCAATATGAAGTGATAATAATGGCTGTCCACGCATTTCATTTCATAGGGTACATGCCTTTTTGTAATATTACTGAAAATCACTAACATATAAATGAAGTAAAACCTGTTCTTTTACTTACTGCTAATAACAGCCAGTCATACTGTCCTTGATAGCCACGTATGAAAACCACTCAAGAAACATTTTTAAACAGCTTGCTCCATGGTAAACTGCTACACTATCCATGAGACTTCTGGAGATGTTACCTAAATTAGTCTTGCTCAAATTCCTTTGTGATATTTCATCATAATAATAAAAGTTAGAGTGCTTTTGCTTTTCCATCAGAAACTGGCCTTATATGTTTTGTTAGTCCCAGCTCTATACTGGCAATGTGATGTCGTGGTGTATAATTTCATAGACACAAAGACACTTCGCTACCATAGCTCTCATTATTAAACAATATATTTTAATTGTCACCACCTTTCTCACACAGACGTTGGCCAAATCTAGCCTTATTGGCTTCAGCTGAGCTACACAAGGGATGAATTTGGCTCAATATATAAAAAAGTACAGCAAGTTGAGTAATAAAAAGAAATGTTTGGGTTTCTTTTTTTTATAGCAGTCGATGTTTTTTGCCATAAGAACACACATGCCTGGCCAGTAAAATCCCATGATAAAGGGCTAAAGTGTTTAAGACTTCATATGCAGAATAGCCCGTGGTGTTTAACTATAATAGCAAAAGATGCCATGTTACAAAAGCATTTCTTACCTGGAGAAGTGATCCATGCTCTCCAATGAAGCTTAATTACCCAAGACATGCTGAGTTTTTCCCTCCTGGCAATAACCTCTAACACCAATAACTCTGCTATTTCTTTTGACATCTGAATAGCTGAATATTGTTAATTTTTGTTCTAATTTCCTTATTGGGATTATAGCTTTCCAGTGTTTTACTTCTGATGAAAGTTTTGAACATTATAAGAGCTTCATTCCTGAGACATTCCTTTTTCTTTCTTCCACTTTTCCCCTTGGAATCTCACTCACTCTCAGCCCTGCTCTGGCACTCCTGCTCTCCCATCTCTTTATGCTTTCCCAGCATACTTGGCTCCAGATGTAGATTTATGCATTTCCCTTCATGTGATCTTTCCTGCTCCACTAGAAAAGTTTCAGCTTCATCTCAGGCCCAGAAGATCCGCATTTCTGCAGTATGAATTTACTTAAAGCCTTAAGGAAAATGCCAGGCCTGACTGTAAGTCCCCAGCACTTCTGAGTCACTGGTTTTACAGCTCTCACACACACAAACACATGAATCCACACATGGGGCACAAAGCAGTAACCCTGGAACTAGCAGCAGAGCCTATAGGGAATCCTTCTTATGCAAAAAAACAAACTGTTATTATTTGGGGGAAACTGAGTCTTCATTATTTATTACATTATATCAGATTTACAGCTCAGATTTTTGCTGTCTTTTTATTAATTCATAAAGAGAAGATTCAAATTTATATAGAAAAACCTGCTTTTTTCAAGGTGGGGAGGAAACCTCTCCCTTGGAAAATGACGTGACATTGAGCTATGATTTAGAATCATCACCTGTGTTGTCCTCCTCATCCTCACGCCTGCATCCTCGGCTTTTGATGAAGTCAATTTCCTGAGTGCATGTGAAAGCCTGTGGCTGCAGCCTGGAACAATCCTACCTCAGTGCTTCCCTTATGTTGTTGATCCTTTAATTTCCTCCAGCCGACTCCTGCAGGGGACTAGTTCGAAGTTTTATGCTACTCTTTTGGACTAATCATTTACGACTACTTAAAAACAATAAAACATACATAAAGAATCACTTGCATCCTGCCAGTGCTAGATAGAATGGCCACTAACTGGGACATACTTCTAGCCAAATGGCAACTCAGGCTCAACAGCAATTCATAGGAACCTAAAAATGCGCTCAAATCTTTATAACCAGACCAATTATTTAGAATGCTATTCTGAAATGATGGTTGCAATCCATAAAATACCTCTGCAGTGCAAATTTTCACACCATGAAAACCCAGGCTAGCAGAAAGTCATATAAAACAGATTAATAGACGGAATCACAATATCAAGAGAAAGATCTCCTATTCTGATGGTTACGAAAGTTACACACAGGGCTCTTACCAAGGGACACGGTTCTATGTCTTAAAAACACAAAACTGAAGAATATCTGAAACTACAGCTCTGAAAGACAGACACATGCAGGATTAGAGATTTAAAAATATGTGCCCTTAGGACCTAGCTGTTGGCTAATGACAAAACAGGAAAAAAGACAAACACAGAAGGGATGTACATTAGTTATTAATTTCTCCAAGATCATGATGTTAGCATTCAGTAAAATAGAGATCAAACCAGTAACTTTATTATTAAATCAGAAAACCAATATGCATTTAACATTGCTTTTGTAATAAAATGCATTAAATTCCAACTTCAAGTTGAGAAGCTGATTCTCATCTCTTAGACAGCAGCACTATTATTTTTTGTTATCACATTAGTTACGTTATCGCAGATGCACACCCTTCCAAATACGCTCAGTGTAGCTTTTCTGAGCTGTGCTAATCATGACAGTTGTGACCCAGGCTTAACTTAAGCACACAGACATGAATGGCCAATTCGAATATATTTGTATGTATTATAGATGATTAAATAGCTCTGGAATAATTTTCTTATTACATTCAAGGATAAACTTATACAACAATTTGATATACTTTACACACCAGCTACCACTACAAACTAGTGTTAAATCTGAAAACCAATGCAAGTACAGTAGCTGAAGTGAAAACAAAGTCACACTACATTTGCAAGAACAAAAATGAGTTCTGCAGCTATTTCTGGCTGCATGTGTTAGCATGGCTTAGACTCACCCACCCAGTGTGGCTAAAAGCAAGTAATTGAACTGTGTCACACGCTCCTGATAGAAATCTGAGATTCAATCAGAAAATTATCCTGGCATACTAAATCAAATGTATTCCAAAATACTTTATGAAACAGAAAGGAGGAGATAGAAAGGCTGAAGTGACCATTTATATGAATGGCTATGTACAGCAGAAACAGAAAAATCTCAAGCAGCAGCCGATTTATACGCTGCTAATTCCTTCCTTAGACGATCAGACTTAGACTGGTCTGATTTCAGCAGGAAAATCTCTGCATGGAGATCAACACTGGTCTCAAGCATAAGATCCTAATTATTTGAAAGGCATTTGTTTTCATAGCTTTTTTTTTATGTGTCCGAGTCGATGGCATTTTAATGCCTTATTAAATGGTTGTTTTACAGCAGCCCGTCTGTTCAGTCTCTGTGCCCATGTCTGTACTTTGTGCTGCAGGATTTTACCTTTCATGCTAGCCAAAAAATATTTTCCAAATTCCCTATAAAAGTTTTCGATATTTCCTAAGACAAATAGAGGGGTTTTTTACATACTCTAACATGACATCGATATGGTAGATATGACATGTATGCCTCTCCATTTATGGTGTGCTTGCAAAAAAGGTGAAGGTTTCTGCTCATTAAAGTGACACCCTCACGACCTTGGACCCAACTTTATATGACTTTTTTTAATTACATAGACAAATGCAAATGTTTCCATTTCTGTTTTTCTTTAATTCAGTGTAAGTCCTGGCAACACAAAATATATGAATACTCCCCCACCATGTTTTTAGCCCAGACATTGCCACGTGGGGTCTCTAAACACACAAGAAATGAAAAAGGGAACCAATTCAAACCCAACCTGAAATAAAATCATACTGATGAGAAGTTTTTATATCAAATTACTTTGAGGTGCATGTGAAGTAAACAAGCATTCAAATGTGAAAAGGAAGATTTTAAAATCATGTGTTTACCAGCATTCAGACAATAGTCCCAGTGAAACATTTCTTTTAAACATGGTGAAGCCCTTGCCTTGTTGAAGTCAAATGGCAGAACCCCACTGACTTCAATGGACCCAGAATTTGCGATCGGGTAGCTCTTTCCCATCACTCATACACAAAGATTGTGCTGCTGTTCCACTTGGACTGAAGAATAGCTTTATCAGAGCTGGCAATAAATAACAAACTCCTTTACTTATCTTTCCTATTGGTCCTGATGAATATGTGGTATGGATCAGCAAAAAACTTTTAAGACAAAGTATAATCTAAATAGCCTGTTTTCAGTTCTTGAGTGTTCTGCAGCAGTAAGCAGTAACGAACAGACGATGGAAGCAGCCAGACCTACAAAAGAAATAGTATTTTAAAAGTACTATATTTAGGGGGAAAAAGGTTTGCCTTGGTACATAAAGAGCTCTATTCATTAAAATAAGTCTTACAAATGTGGTTATTTCAAAGAGTCAAAAAGTGTGAAATACACTTAAATGAGTAAAATTTGTGGATTTTCCTATGGGTTAAATATGTGCCATGCTGATAAAGCTCTCCTCACACCTCTTCCGAACTCGCAGTCTTTGGCCTCATTCTGCAAGATGTTTTGAATTGAGGGAGCTCAGCACTTTGCTGGAATGGACTATTAGCTATTAAAGCCCCAGCTCTTTAAAGATTAATGGATTTTAAAGGGATCCAGAAGAAATCATCTAAATCTGACATTCAGCATTCTTGCACCAAGCCCATGAAGTACATACATGAGTTCTCACAATTCTACCCCAAGGATCTGACTGAGCATTTCCGAGGAGCAGCTGTTATGCTGAGTGGCTAAGCAGGCACACTAAGGGTGAAATGAGAATGGAGACCAAGCCACACAAATCAGAAACATCAAACAACCTCAAACCTTCTTCCTTACAGCCCCCAACAGGTCAAATGTTAAAGCACAAATTACTTTGAATCCTGCCTAGGTGCTCAGATCTTGTGAATTCAGATCCAGAATCCAAGCACCTCCCAAGTACATACGTATTGGGGGTCATTGATTCAGAGGCTCAAATAACAGCTAAATGAATCTGCTACCTAATGGAATAGGCTTGTTTCTGCAGGAGGGCCTCCTCCATTCAGAACCAGTTTTCTGATGCTCTTCTTCTCACTCCTGTTTTAAAAATGTTCCTGGTGTGCAGTATAAAAAGCACATCAACAGCTGGCATATGGAAAAAACCCATCCCTGTTTCACTGAAATGTGGCCCTGCTGGTGTAGGTCAGTGTCACTGGATACTAACCTAGAAGTACCGCCTATGTGCGAGCTCATTCAAAAGAGGTTTTACAAAGTGATGAAAATCTTTACACAACTGATTTTCCAGTGTTTGATCCCTTCTATTGCTTGATGAAAGCTTCAAATAGCTTTAAAATTAAATAAATGTGATTAAAGAAGATTATTCATAATTATCCACTTTCTTAGCTTTTTGTCCTTTCAGTTTTCAGCTGCCTATTGTGTCAGGACATACCTGTGTTTAACCTGAACGGTTTAAACCCTTGCACTTATGTCCCTTGGCTTCTGTAACTCTGGTATCATGGTCTGTTGCTGCACATGTAAATGAGACACTAGAAATGTAACATGACTGCTCCATGATTGTTCAGATACAGAAAAATAAGATATTTAAGAAAGCATGGCTTTAAATACTAAACTTCAAAGCTGAATCTCTGCAATAGCAAAAACTCCTCAAAATTTCATAGCACTTGGTTTAACGTAGGAAGAAAATTTTCAGCCTATTACTTAGTTCACATGCATAGACCCCAGAAATCATCACAATATTTTATAGATAGATAAAACCACATATGTTTCAGGCACATGGTGGTGTATCAGGCCTTCACTGAGGTACAGATTTTCTTTGCTTCATCTAACAGTAGAGATGGAGAATTTAACAGCAGCACACTTCCTTGAACACTAACAAAACAATAAAATTCAATTTATTGCATGCTTATGTCAGGAGAAACTAATGGATGATAGAGCCATGTGTTTCTTCAATACAACTATGCTTGTTTACAAGAAGGAGTCCATAATTCTGTACACAGCAGGAATCCCACAATAAGAGATGATGGTTTTGCCCACCACTCCAATTCCCTGTCCCAAAGGAACACACACTTTCAGGAGAGCCACTTTGACAACTGGACATTGGGCTACTACGACGGGTTCCCCATATGACCTGCTCCTTGTGTGTTGAGATAGGACAATGTTGGTAGGGAGCCTCCAGTGTTGCTCTCTACATAAACCTGTGCTCAAGCCTGTTTGACACCATGGAAGCACAACATTTTTCCCCGCTGCAATCAGAAGGCAATGTGCCCCTCAGAGCCCCTGCAGCCTGCTGAGGATTTGTCCGAACCATATATCCTTTTCCAAAGAAATGGAACTGAAAAATGTCCTATAGATTTAACCACTGTCAGATGTTCTTTGAGCAGACTATTAATTTCTCTCCCGAGAACATAAACTTTTCATTGTAATAGGTCACCATCTTCCCAAGTCCTTTGATTTCCTCTGTCAAAACTGCCCCCAGACCATAAGCATCTGCGTCCAGCCTGAAAGGTGTTTGAAACATGGGGAAGCTAAAATGGGAGCAGTTACAAGAGCTGTTTTAAAAAATAAAAGATGTTAAATCACACTATGCTAGCCACTGACACGGCTTCCTTCGCACCAAGCTCATGCTGTGGTTTTACAATATTAACAAAGCCACAAATAAACTGCCTGAACTAGTAGTAGCAGTAATCGTTAAAAAACCCAGAAACATTTACCTGACAGCCACTGCATGGAGAGCTGGTCAGGACTATCCTGCCTTCATTTTCTTTTTGTCTGCAAAAGTCAGTCCCCGGCTGGCTGTGTACTCACAATTAACTACTTCTGCTTGCAATGATTCACTTGTCTTTGGATTTGATTTCAGGTTGATGACTTTCAGTGTATTATAGACCATTTGTAAATATGTCAGTTCCTGTTCAAGTGTTGTATTTCACATCAAGATATAGTCAAGAGATAATCTAAAACAGGCATGCTGTACCATACCTTCTCCACATCCTCTAAAATGCAGCAGGTGCTGAGCCAAAAGACATCTTTTTAAGTTGCAGTAGGCCTTGTCCTGCTCTGAAAGCTCTTCCCTCCCCCTTTTTCTGTTATTGGCTCCACAGAATCTGCTCAGATCACCATTTGACTTTAATCAGAACTGTGAGTGAGGTCCAAAAATTGTGCAAAGCTCACTTATCTCATCCCGGTTCATTTCTTCGATGCCCAGTAGCACTTCTTACAGCTTTGCCTTTGCTAAATAGGGAGGTGGGGTGTAATGGGCTGGTTTCCCTCAGAACCAGTCTGTGGTAAACCACTGTGTGCAGGCTGGATCCAGAGAACTGATTTTTTAACTGGAAAAAGATTTGGGGGATCTAAACAGTGCACCAAAATTGCAATTTTGGCTCAGCCATGGTGTCTACATTGCTGCTAACACTAGTACCACCAGCAATGGCCACTCTAACTTCAGCAGAGGTTTGCAAGCTCAGTGCAGCCTAGAGGTACTTACTCGACTTCTGTGACTTGTACTGATTTCTAAGCTGTATTTTGACACAGTTAGTTGTGCTAGCTGGGTTAAAGCTAGAGCAGGTATACTTACTTACAGCATCATACACGATGAAGAATTCACCTGAGACCATGCTGCAGCTCAGCGTTTAACTGAATGTAAAATCTGAATTTCTTAGTGCAAGAGAAAATGAACCTTTCCTTCAGATGTAGCAGCATCTTAAAATGGCCCTTGAAATGATGTTTTCATCAGTCTGCCTTTACTTGGGTAAAAAGATACAGCAACAAGTAGCTGCTGTAGAGTTCACTGCTCTATGAGGAAAATCTGCTCACTGCAAATCAGTTACCTGCAAATCCTAAGCTTCACCTGGGCCACACAATTAAAGATTTCTGGAGATTTAATTTGTAAGACAATACTTCCAGCATGTATTACTCCATGCTGGAAGTATTGTCTTACAAATTAGAGCCTCTACAAATTAGAGGCTATAATGAAGTCCAAATCTTCCCATAGCTTATCTGTCATTTTAGTTACATTTCTTGCTCAGAAGAGACAAATTTTCAAAACCAATTTTCCCACCTTTTGGATCCGTCATGTTTGCCAGCAGTCACTCTCCCTGCTTGAGACCAATCTGTTCTTTTTCAGTCCACCTAGTGCAATAACTTCAGCTTGAGAAAGGATATTTTATTCCATTCATTTCATGGACCCTAATATAGATTCAAAAAGTAAACTGACCAAATCTAGAGAAAAGCTATAAGCTTTATCCTCATTCCTTTGGAGCTCAGCACTTTCAGCTTCATGTCTTCACGTTTCCTGAACTGATTGAAGAACATTCCCTAGACGTTTCTGAGGCTCTGTCCTGGCCAGCCTCAGAATGGCTTTTATGGCCAATTTTTTCATAAGTCTAATATTTAACTGAACTACTTCCTTTAATTTTTTCCACAGCTGCCAATTTTCCTTGTTTTACAAACCAAGATTATCACTTTTCCTAATTGTGCAGTAAGGCCAGGGATCAGATTAGGATTGCCCCTTTTCATCAGTCATTTTATAAACAGTACTTGAGTTACAGGATTTGGCTGCTAGGAGCTCCAGTTTCTGTCCATCTTTCCAGTCATTCACTGGGGCTGTGATTTGAACAGACCACATGTGTTCCTCCTGAAGCCTACAGCTCAGAAGTAAAGGGTTTGATACTTTTTGAGCTGATCTGAAATACCCCATCTGAGTATATGTAAATTTCAAATTACAAGTGCTTTTTCTCCTAATTTCTTGTCTCACAGAGATCACTAACTGACAATCATTTCGTTACACTATGGACTTCAGATGTGACCTAAGATTCTTGGATTTCACTCCAAATTTTATACTTCGTCTTATATCTTTATGTGTTGTAGCCAAAGTTCCAGGCTGGCCAAAACTATCTTGCTTTCTGCTATCTGCTGATAAGCTTTCCGGGTGACGGCAGTCAGACTGCTGAACCAAACAGTCATCTTGTCAGTTCAGTCTTGGAGGTCTGTATCCAGCCTTCCCATCTTGCTTTGGAATTTTGTAGTTGTCCCCAGATCTTTCTTTCTTATCAGAGGCCTCAGTCCTTCCAGAAAGGGCTTACAGACATTGCAGATTCTTGATGAAATTCTATCTGGCCACCTTAAGTTCCTGCAAGTCCTGCAGAAAACAAGGTACTTGAGAAAAAAGAAGCAATGACTTTTCAGATACTGGTGTTTAAAAACACTGTCTGGATGTTCTGAATTAATATTGTGCTAGAAGAAGCCAAATGGCTGCATGCCAAGACTCAACCTAAGGTGTATTTTT